GGCGAGATTGCTGTATATTCATGTACTCATAGTTTGTAACATTTTTGTAAAAATGATAATTCAGTGAATCAATTCGGTTAACGAAGTAATACGTATTCAGCACCATTTTGGTAGCCGATATAAACTTTACTTTTGCTTTGAATCGGATGAAAAAGGGCATGAGAATTATGTATGTGATTCAGAATAATTTGATCTAAAAAATACAGAAACATGCATTTTCATTGAACACAACGGATGTTGTACCAACTATGGAATATTATTCTTACATTAGCCTGGAATATTTTTATCTTATACATTATTCAAAAATTTTCATATTTTAAAAGTCAAATATAGCATTTGTGAAGTTGAAAAGAATGATAGAATAAATAATACGGTGAAATTTCATGTCTGCCATATGAGTATTGTTAAGGTTTTTATTTAACATTAACAAGACGTTTGAATTATTTACAAATATATTACAAACACGCGATAAACTTTTGCAAACATTACAGTGCAAATAATACGCACGAATTCGTTTTAAATAAAAAATCGCCGAGTGTCTAGAAATGTTTAATATACAGTTCAACGTACCATCATCTGTTCATATAGATACACTACATGTAATATATGTATTCTTATAATATTAAACTAATTGATCTCTAACATATTCCAACATTATATAAACGTTTTTATAAAAATATATTTGATAATGCAATCGTGTAATAATGATTAATAGCCGAGAAGACAATATGTGAACAAATATACATAATGAACATAATGTAAGTTATACAAAATAATGTAAGTTATACATGTCAAGTTATACAAAATTGATCATAACACATTGGTGAACAACCATATGTATACAGGGTGTCCCATTTAAATCAATCCACTCGAATGTCTCCGAAACTATTAACGATATTAAAAAATGTTTCAGACAAAAGTTAAATGATATCAGAGATCACACTTTTTGATGTAAGTAACTTTTTTCTATGTGGTCGCGTAGAAGACATATGAAGGTCAACTTTGATTTTTTAAATGAAATCATATATTTTTTAATGCACTATTTAATGCTACTCATTATTCCCTACATAAAGTACTAAGTCACTTACAGTCAATTAGTACATTAGAAATTATACGATTTCATTTAACAAAACAAAGTTGACCTTCATATGATGTCTATACGACCACATAGAAAAATGTTACTCATATCGCAAAGTGTGCCGCCTGATACCATATAATTTTGTCTGAAACATTTTTTAATATCAACAGTTTCGACGATACTCGTGTAAGTCGATTCATACAGTACACTCTATATATGTATAATGAGGTGAAGAGATAATGGAGATACCATACTCTATGAAAATAACGTGTATAGGTATTTCTAGTTGTATGTATAAGTTGAACGAAATCATTCACAGAGAAGAAAATAAAATTTCATTTGACACTTAGTTTTGAAATTTCTACAATTAACATACAAATTTTCCTATGAATCCAGAATCTATATTTATCATTGAAACAATATTTATCATTGAATATCAAAATTTGAACCTAACTGTATAGGTATGTATATCAATTTAAACTGATGAAGTTACTTTGAGGGTGCTAAAAAATATTGTTCTACAGAATTTTTCAGAAAGAATTTAAAAAAAAAGAGAATTTGAAATGTGATATTGGTTACCAATATAAAAGTACATAATTCGTGCAAGTAGTCTTAGATTTTTGCATCATACATGTCAGTTCGAACGATTATAATTTATCTTGAAAAGAAAATTTCTAATTGAAATACGATCCATATAAATCAATATACGCTTGCCAAAGAGTTATTCGTTTCCATGGTTATTCACTTTAAAATGACTGAAGTGAAATGCATTCATAAAATGAAAAAATGATGTTTTTTTCAAAACTTAAGTGTACACTCCAAAAGTTTAACCTTTAGAGGACGGGAAGCTTATTTTTATGTTTTAAACTGTTTTCACTTTAAAATATCATACATTAGACTTTTTTCGGTCGCCAAATTCACATTTCAATTGAGAATTAAGTTTTGAGAGGTCACAGATGTTAATATTGTTAATATTGTTAATATATGTATATAGCTAGATAAAAAAGTGTCGCACTTTTTGTGTAGTCTTTAAATATTATTCTCTTACTTTACTTTCATGTTGTAGATACTTGTCGAAGATCAGCATTTATATATCGTGAACGTGATATGCCTATGTGTCATATCTTGCTTCAGAATATATGACACACGACGACATTACTAAATATGAGCAAAAATACAATAAAAAGAAAATTATTTTCACACGAAAATTCCTTCTTATGTAGGTATTGGTTGTTTCTTTTACTAATGAACTTCGAAATATACCTATGTTGATAACATCATTTTTTTTATCGATTGGCCATTTTTTTCATCTAAAGCTAACATAAAAGATGAATTCTTTGATATGTATTGTTATTCATATAATGGTCCTGTGCAACTTTTCTATTTTTATTAACGTTCCTATTTTTAGGCTTCAAAGGTGTCGCTTATTTGTCACGATGTAACATTACAATAAATATAAAAAAGTTCTTACTCGAAAATATAAAAAGTCATAAAAAAACCTGCCCGTCCATCAAAGGTTAAAAAAGAAGAAAAATTGACAAGAATTTATGGAACGACCTGATCATTTAGTCTACTCTTAAAGAACCACGTCTGAGTTAAGTTTAGACGAGCACAGAGTCGTGTGACATTACATACATCGCCAGTGTAGAGAGAAATTACACGCAGATCTGATGTCTATCGTAATTTGGACACGCGTGAAAAGGTAATCTAACGGGGCTGTGTAAAAGCACAATGAACCAAGCACGAGGCAAGGCGAGATTAACAACGCGGAGGAAAAGCCGTGTTTCCAGCGACTGCATTACTACGAGGATTTACTGCATCCATAATTATAGGTAATAAAGGCAGAGAAGTGGAAACCAGAGCGGCATCGGCCAGTACCGAAATATTCATATATCGACGCCACTGATGTAAAAACTGTTTCTAGAAACTGTACTAGCGTTATTCTCTTCATGTCTCGGTAGTACCGATTTCTCATCGCTTCTATTACATGTAGAATTTTAATAACAGCGCTTCCTAATACGAACATAAGATCAATTACATTTTTTTCAGCTGAACTCTTCCAACTTACTTACAACTACAACCACTCTTCAAACAAATATCGCATACGATACATAATTTTTCCGATATGAAAGTGAGCACTGATAAAACTCAATAAAATCCTAGTCAATATTTAAACAGTCATATGGATTTACAATTTTTTAATATATTAGCCGCATCAATAAGTAATCTACTTTTTTATAGCAAATGTAATATTTACTTCTAGAACAGTCGTAATTACTTCCTTAATAACATTCGTTACTGTATCCGCCGCCGTTTTATAAACAGGGAAAGTGCGGGAAATATACAGAATTTAAATTATATTGCTATATTATTCGAATATAGTGGACTAGTTGCAGACTATACAACAAGGATTTAACATAAGTGTATTGTATAGAAGTTATATTAGAACAAATGTGTTTAAGTATGTTGAGACCTATTTTATGATATTAAATATATTTAGTAGGAAAGTTATACCAAAACTGCAAAAAAAGAATACACTTTGATAATAGACGATTCGAAACATTCTAAAGCATTTGTTGCATTAAAGAGTTTTTAAGGTCATAGATGGTAACACTCTATTTTAATAATTTGTTATACTTTCGATTTCGTTTGAAATGTTCGTTATTCCGAAACAGATAGCAATTTTAACATATTAACGTTACTGCTGCTGTTACGATTCCAAAATATGTGTACTTTTTTCAATTCGTTTTTCAGTGTGGTAAGAGTCGCTGCGCATACTTTCTGTTAGCGCTGCTGACACGCACCCGCGTGGCGATACACGCGTCAACGCCCTGCGACGCCAGCTAGCGGTGGCGCTCGTGAACTACCCGTTCTTTATGTCTTGCGTGATACAGTTTTAGTACGGTTCCTTTGTATCACAATTATCCAATTAACCCTCATCGGTCCCTCGAGAAATACATCTAATCGGTCCCATTGTATGCGCGCGCATACACATATATTTTTAATTGTAAAAAAGCTAAAAAAATTAACAACCATTTATGTTTTGTGATTTTTTATGTTTATTATATTGTTTACTATCATATTAATACATTTGAACTTCATAAAGGTAGATTTAGAATGAAATTAAAATTAGAATATTACATATATTAGAAAAAAAAATTGAATTTTTAACTTTTGTCAATTATTTGTACATTTTTCGCATAAATTGAAATTATGTTCAGCACAAATGAAATTTCTACACTTTTCACAGCGTGTAGCAAAAAGATTTTTGTTATTTTTATATGTGCAGATGTAGCATCGGCCTCGTTTTGATGTACTTGGTAAATGGCGAATCTCCCGAATTCTTTGAATAACACTGGAAGCATCATTACTTTGAGGTTGTTTTTTACGTTTAGTGATCTGTTTTTCAACGAGATTCAATCCAAGCTCCTCGATAAAAAGGCGACGACGAATATTATGGTTCGTTTTAGAATTTTTCCAATTCGGGAACAATGCAATGAACGTCACGAATGCATTCAACGCACTAACATCAAGCATGTTACAAAATACTGCCATTGGCCACCGATTGACTTTTCGTTTGCATGTGTACGTAGCCACCATTTGATCCATAGTATCAACTCCACTCTTGGTTTTGTTGTAGTCTTCAATGATGTTAGGTTTCTTCTGTTCACTATTCTCATTTATGCTGACAACATTGTGGTATGTACTGAGCAATGTCACAAATCGGTACCGGCGAGGAACATATGACAACATAACTGCTTGCAATTTATGTTCATATACAACTTCTGTATGATAAATTGGCTTTTGACGCATGTCGAGTAGAACTGAAGGAATTTCAGTCCTATTTTTCCTTATTGTTCCCAAAATAGTCATGCGATTCTTATGCAAATCTTCTGCCAATTCATACGAAGTGAAAAAGTTGTCACACGTTCCCATTTCTGTCAGAAAGTCCTTCCACCAAATCCAAAACAACACGCCGTCCGAGATTGCGTTCAGGAGTGGCATTACGATTCCGACCAACATAAATTTGTGTGTTGTATGCATACCAGCTTTTTGAGTCGCATAGCACCCAAATTTTGATGCCATATTTCGCCGGCTTGGATGGAATATACTGACGAAACGGACATCGCCCACGATACGGAACTAACTGTTCATCTACGGTAATGTTTTTTCCTGGTGTGTATACAGCTTTCAAATTATGATTCCATTTATCGTATACATTTCGAATCGGTGCCAATTTGTCACGAACAGAAGTACTTGTAGATGCAGTGTTGGCCATACGTTGTTCGCGGTCATCAAATCGAATGCAACCATGGATACGCTTGAACATTTTCAAAGACATTGTTGCTCTAAATATTGGCCGACCAGTTTCTTCATTCCACAGTTTAGTGACACATTCACCGTATGACCGATACACACCAGAAAGCAGCAACAATCCAAAGTATGCGTGCAGAGTGTCCAAATCAATGTTTTCCCATTCGTCTTTGTACTTTCGCACACCATATAAATTCGTCATGTTCAAAATAATATTCTCAACCGGTCCAAGGAACATGTGAAATGCAGACGAAACATCAACTATATTAGCAGCTGCTAATGCTTTTGGACCTGAATTATAACAAAAATGAAACATATAATGAACATGAACCCATAACAAAGAGGGTAGGTTTTTACCTGAAGTGAAATTTTCTGCACGTCGAAATGAATTTCTTCGATTTATTTCAAATGCTTGCGATGAATATTCAATTTTCTTATTTTTTGAAAAATATGTATTTTCAGGATTTGCTGCATTTTCTTCTGCTAAATTTTGCTCAAGTGACTCAATGTCGTCTTCATCCGAATGCACGCTAACTTCACTTTCATCATTCTCCTCGTCTGATAATGCAAAATCATCGTCACTATTGCACGGAGATTCGCCCGCTTCGCTTTCCAAATCAAAATCCATTTCTAGGTCATCTCGCTGCCTTCTTTCACGTAAAACTCTATCCATTTTTTATCAAATACTTCGAAACACAACCAAAATTCAAATAAATGCATAAAACGAAAAAATAAGAGCGTGCTATAAATCCACACACAAAAATAAGCGGCAATTCCAGTGAGAACGAGGCTTCCTCAAAAAGGAATATTTCGTCATCCAGGCGGCCGAAATGCGTCGCGGCCGCGAGAACGAAAAGACGATCCTGTGACCGAGGGGGGAAGAAAGGAAGCTCCACGCGACTCGCGTTATGCGAGTCGGGCAGTCGGTCGAAGACTACACGTACAAACGTATCTGTTGACACCAGACAATAAATATCCTTTGTTCTTTTACTACACGTACAAACGTATCTGTTGACACCAGACAATAAATATAAATATTCATTTATTACAATAAACAGAAATATTCATTTACTACACCAGGTACCTGCTTATGTGTATCCGCGCACATACACAGGGACCGATTCGTAACTATAACTGCACAGGCAAATACAGTAAGGGTACAAATTCAAAAACGGGTTTTTTTGGTTGTTCAGGCAAAATAATTCTACTTTGCAAAATACAAGGTCATTCCGCTGAACCGTTTTTATTTTATTCAAGGTTAAAGATCAAAATTGTATGCGTGCGCATACGGGGGACCGATGAGGGTTAAACTACCTCATTCACAATCTCTGTGCTCTGTGTGTGCTTTGCGATCACGGATCCTCTCCCACAGGTTATGGGCCCAGAAGATTTCGGAAATTAAAGTGCACGGAAAGCGAGTGATCGTGAGTTTCTTTTGATCGACAAACTATCAGAGGTTAGTTTTTTTTTGTGTCGCGACGCGTATCATGAGTTCCGGAATTGTACGGATCGAATCCTTGAACAAGGAAAACTATGACACGTGGAAGATGCAGATGCAGGCCTTGCTGGTTAAAAATGACGCGTGGACATATGTAAACGGTGAAACGAAGAAACCTAATGTCGTTGCCGGTGACGCCGAGTCGGAGAATGCCGCGAGGGAATGGACAAGAGAGGATAATAAGGCGAAATCGGATATTATATTGTCGATAAGCCCGTCCGAACTAAAGCAAATCAAAGATTGTGAAACGTCTCGCGAAGTGTGGCTGAAACTTCGAGAAATTTATCAATCGAAAGGGCCCGCACGAAACGTCACATTGCTAAAGCAACTCATGTTGCAACGAATGGAAGAGAGTGGGGATATCCGCGAACACATTCGGAAATTTTTTGACGTGATCGATAAATTGAGCGAGATGGAAGTAGAAATAAACGAAGATTTGCTGGCAATCATGCTCTTGTACAGTTTACCCACCAGCTTCGAAAACTTTCGCTGCGCAATCGAGTCACGTGACGAATTGCCATCACCAGAAACTCTTCGTATTAAAATTATCGAAGAAAGCGACGCTCGGAAGAACGACGCACGAAACAGTGACAGTCAAGGCGTCATGGTAGCAAACAGAGGGGCTCGGAAATACCCGAATCACAAGAAGAAGACGACGGAAAGGAACGACACGGGTGTCAAGGAGACGTTTAAATATCAATGTCATCGATGTCGGAAATACGGCCACAAATCCGCGGATTGCAGAAAGACAAACACTGATCGCCGAACAGACGCGAGAAAAGTCGACGAAGTAGGTTTGTATAACGCCTTTGAATCCGTCGACGAACACGAGGTGCTACGCGTGGACGGCTCGAACAATGCCGGAGAGTGGTGCATTGATAGCGGCGCGACATCGCATTTATGTAAAGACTTAAGTGATTTCACGAATATCGAATATTCGAATTTCGGAAAATTAAATCTCGCGAACAACGCGTCGACAAGCGTAGCGGGAAGAGGAACGGTTTCCTTCGCGACAAACACGTTCGGTGACGAGAAGAATGTTCGGTTGGACGATGCGCTTTTTATACCGGATCTTCGAACGAATCTCTTATCAGTCGCGAAAATTACGGACAAAGATTTCGAAGTCACGTTCAGTAAGACGCGAGCCGTGGTAACTGTTAAGAACGGAAACACGAAATTAGTGGCGTGTCGCGTTGGCGGACTATACTACGTGCGCGAGAACTTACGCGGCGAGTGTAACTCAACCTCGGAAGAGGTTTCGTCGAGCGCGTCAGCAGTGTTGATGTCGTGGCACCGGCGCCTCGGACACGTGAACACTAGAGACCTCCTCCATGCGGCGCGCGAAAAAATCATACGGGGAGTCGACTTGCCGGACCGCGAAATGCGACTCGAGTGCGATATTTGCATTCGCGGGAAAATGACGAGAACGCCCTTTCCGAAAAAGTCGATGCGAGAAACGAATCTGTTGGAGATCATTCACTCCGACGTGTGCGGCCCGATGAAAAACGTCTCGAATGGAAAGGCCAGATACTTCGTGACGTTCATCGACGACCATTCAAGATGGAGCGAAGTACGGTTCCTAAAATCAAAAGACGAAGTTTTCGCGTCATTTAAGGAATTTAGACAGCTCGTCGAAAATCTGACAGGCCGGAAAATTAAACACTTACAGTCCGATAACGGCGGAGAGTACCTGAGTCGCGAGTTCGATAACTATTTAAAGGAACACGGAATCGCGAGAAGACTGTCTGTCGCAAAAAATCCGGAACAAAATGGCATCGCGGAAAGAAAAAACCGAACTCTGTTGGACACTGCGAGGTGTCTTCTGTTGCAGGCGGGCCTCCCCTCGTCCTTTTGGGCCGAGGCGATAAATACAGCGAACTATATCAGAAATCGCTGCCCAACTAGAAGCTTGACGAACAATACGCCGTACGAGGCCTGGACACAACGGAAGCCGGACGTGGGCCACATGAAAGAGTTCGGCTGTAGAGTATTTTACCTGAATCGAGATGCCAACAGGGACAAATTTCACTCACGCTGCAAGAAGGGCATTTTCATCGGTTACCCTGAGCATTCGAAGGGGTACAGAATTTGGCTATCCGAAGAGCGCAAAGTCGTGATTGCACGTGACGTTAAATTCCTAGAAGACAAAGGTGCTCAACCTGAAGAACGCAAGGAGGTAACGTCCAACACAGAAGACGGAGCAGAAGAAGCAGCGCCTCGCGTAATAGACATCGAATTGAGGCCCTCAGTCAACATTGAAGACAACGACCTTTCTGGTACGGAACTGGACGACCTTCATGAAGACTCATCAGAGGAAGATGACGCTTTTGGGGAACGGCCAAACGCAACGCCCAGAAGAGGTCCCGGAAGACCTAGATTGCTTCACACTGGTTTGAGGGGAAGGCCACGCAAATTGTTTCACGAACCACGCGAACACGCAGGTAACGTTGAGGAGAATTACGCTCTCGCATCGGAAATCCCTATCAAGCGAGCGTTGTCAGGTCCAGATGCAAGCGACTGGCTACGAGCTATGGCAGCCGAGGTCAAATCGATCATCAAAAATGACACGTGGACCGTAGTACGGAGTAGTAGACCGGAAAACCGCGACATTATCGGGAGCCGAATGGTATTGAGGAATAAATATCGACCGGATGGATCCATTGAGAAGAGGAAGGCGCGCCTTGTCGCCCAAAGGTTCTCTCAACGTCCGGGAATTCATTTTAATCAGACCTTCGCTCCAGTCGCTAGATTAAGCTCGATACGCCTTCTAATGGCAATAGCAGCACGTAATGGAATGTTTGTTGAGCAGCTGGACGTTACGACAGCATATCTGAATGGCACACTTGAAGAGGAGATATTTATGTCGCCACCCAAGATGCTGAACGACGCCTTGAAGACGATTATCGAATCGGAAGGTAGGGACAGCCAATTAAAAGTCAAGGCAGAACAAATGTTAAAGGATCTGTCGTCCGGAGACAGAGTTTGCCTCCTAAAAAAATCCCTCTACGGCCTACGGCAGGCTGGAAAGTGCTGGTTCAACAAACTGGACAAAACTTTAAAAAAATATGGAATGTCACCCTGTCACGCAGATCCGTGCGTGTACAATGCTGGTCAAGGGGAAGACTTACTACTGATCGCAGTATACGTCGACGACATACTGATCGTCTCACGGAATAATAAGTCGATATCAGCGATAAAGCGAAACCTATCGCGGGAATTCGAAGTGAAGGACCTCGGCAGTGTGGGTCACTGTCTGGGCATCGAGTTTTCTCGCGGTGACAACAGCATCACCATGCACCAGCAGCGGTTCATCAGGGAAATTTTGCATCGTTTCGGCATGGCCGAGTCAAAGGCAGTCAGCTCTCCCATCGATCCAAACGTGAAGCTGACGACACCAGAAGGTGAACCTCCTGATCGTGAAGAATCCAAGCTACCATATCGAGAGCTGATCGGTGCTCTGATGTACCTGGCAGTAGCTACGAGACCGGACATCGCATTTGCGGTCAGTCACCTGAGCCAGTTCAACGAATGTTTCCGATGTATTCATTGGACAGCCGCAAAGCGCGTATTGCGCTATCTGAAAGGGACTATGAATCTGGGACTATCCTTCGGCTCGGGCAACGACTCGCTGAAGGGATTTGTTGACGCCGACTGGGGAAATTGTCTACTCGATAGGCGGTCATTTACGGGATATGTTTTTACCCTAAGTGGAGCGGCCATATCATGGGATTCGAAGAAGCAAAGAACTGTAGCGCTCTCATCAACCGAGGCGGAATATATGGTCGTCACTGAAGCCGCGAAGGAGTCTATATACTTAAGAAACTTTTTAAAGGAATTGGGACTTCCGAATCTTGCGGACATCGTGGTGTACAATGACAACCTAGGAACAAAGCGACTGGCAGATAACGCCTCATTCACGGCCAGAAGCAAGCACATCGACTTGCGACATCATTTCGTCCGAGAAGTCCTGAGCAATCGGCAAATGAGAATGGAGTACATTCCAACGGAGGACATGCCTGCGGATACGATGACCAAGAGTCTACCACGGCCCAAACACAAGAAATGTTCCGAGGCAATAGGACTCAACCCGGTATCCCTTGCAAACGTGCAAGTTAACGCGCGTCTCGAGGAGAAGTGTTAGCGCTGCTGACACGCACCCGCGTGGCGATACACGC